CCAATAACTGCCTTTTAATTAGAATGTTTAATCCACTTACAGTTAATGATATTCTGATAAGGTAGGATTTACATCTATTTTGCTATGTGTTTGCTATACTCATAGGTATTATGTCTTTTTTGTTCCTCTATCCCTCCATTATGCCTTCTTTTTTGTTAAATAGATATATGCTAATTTCATATCAGTTCATTTTTTTTAGTTTCAGAAATTGCATTAAACATTTTTTTATTTTCATAGTCTGTCCTTTACAATGAAGAAATTTCTGAAGTCCGTATTTCCATTGTTTTGGGATTCCACTTATTTTCCACTTATTTTCACTCTGACTCAGTGACATTTTTAGTTGAGGGGAGTGTTCCTTTGTTTTATCCACACTTTTTGAGGAGCAAGTGGGTGTTGACTGTCCCGATGCAGATGTTCTGAAAATCAATGCGGGGCTCTTGCCTTGGAGCCAGACACGCTGTGGTTTAGGTTTGCGGAACTGGGGGAACGTGTCTCCGGTGTCTGCCAGCTGAGTTTACTTATAGGGGTGGTAGGATTGTTCTTCAAAGCCGACAGCAAGCTTTGGCGTTTACCATGATGTTTAACCATTTTTTGCATGTTTTAAAAGTAATAATACACTTTTGGAGTCTTTGAATTTTGCCACAATTTTTGCTTCTTTAAAACTGGGTGTAGCCCTGGCCGGATAACTCAGTTGGTTTAGCGCCTCCTTCAGGTGCCAAGGTGGATCCCATCTCCAGTCCGGGCACAGGCAGCCATCAACCAAGGACCGTGTAACTCCGCGGAACAACAGATCGGTGTTTCTCTCTCCATGCCTCCCCCAGCCCCGCCCCACTCTGTCTCTAAAATCAATTAAAAAAATTTTAAAAACTGAGTACATAATTTCTTGCTTTTCAATTAAGAAATTTCTGTATTTTGGGTGTTGGGTTGGGCTTGGGTTTGAGATGCACTCGAGAATTATCCGGAACCAGCATGGAAACAGTATGGACATGTTCTTTCAAAAGCGCTGTTAGCGGCGGTGACTAACTGTAGGCGCAGAGGAGACGGCAGGCCTGGCCCAGGCGGCCATCTGGCAGTTTCCGTGCCCAGCCTCGAGGAAGTGCTTCTGTCTCATCATCTCCACCATCCCCACGCCATTAAGATCCAGTGACAAAAGGTCATATCAATTTTTTTTATCAGATTTTTAGAGTATACAATGATATCCAAAAGCTTTGTTCCTATATGGCTTCATTCCCCCTCCTTTTTGTTATTATTGTCATACAAATCATATCTTGTGTGCTCATCAACACAGATTTATAATTATTGTTTTTGCTGTCTTTTATGTTTATGTTTATCCTGTCATTTGTGTTTACCTCCATAGTTGCCTTTACTGGCGTATTTTACTTCTTCACGCAGACTTGAGTCACTCACTAATGTCCTTTCGGATCTATTGTAGTGACCGCTTCAGGGCGTCTAGCAGTGACCCTGCTGCCGTCTCTCATCCACTGCCTGTGAGGTGCCCCCATTTTGACGTACAAGCCAGTGAGGCCTGGGGCACTCAGGCCCTAAGCTGAGAACTCCCTCCGCCTGTCACGCAGACGGATGGTGTACGTTGTCCCTCTTCCTGTTGAGTTTACAGAACCCAAGATTATTTAGGTGACAACATATTTGGGGCAGGTGGGCCTCTTCGTCTGCCCAATGGGCTGAACCGTGTTTGGCCCGAGCCAGGCACAGCCCCCTTGCCGGTCGGAGCAGAGCCGCGGGGACCCAGGCCTTGGCCCCACCGGAGACGGTGGTAGAGGCCGGCCCTCTTCTGCATGCAGGGTGGTTGCTTGAGCAAGTGATGCCTGCAGCTGCGGCCGCCTTCTTGTGACCGGGAGGTGATAAACTTGGGATTAAAGATGGCAGAGCCTAAAGACGAGCGAGCCTGGGTCTCGGACCGCACCTCTGAGCGCTGCGCCTGCTGCCGTGCCATCTGGATGCCACCTGGATTCTGCTCTGGCAGCTGCCGCAAGACGGAGCAGAGTGGGAGGTGAGAGGATGGGCGCCGGCCACCGTCCGCAGAAAGGCGCCTTCCGCTTTCGCCACTTACGGCCCGGCCCATTCGGGTTCCCAGCGCTCGGGGCCTAATTCATCCCAAAGCTCCCAGTCTCTGTACTGGGTCACGTGGCAGACGGTTCCTCCGCCCCTTTTAGCCCGACCCCTGTGCAGTAGGCATTTGTTATTCCACCTGATGCATAAGAAACTGTGGCTTAGAACAATTAGTTAAGTTGTCCAAGGCCAACCTCAGAATTAGGAATCAAATCTGGGCCCTCTGCTCATGACTTTCATGACTAACCCTCCGGGCCCCACCTCTCCTTGTGTTTCCTCCGCAATAATTGCCTGTTGCCACTACCGCCAGCCCTGCGGGTCCTGCAGTCCGTTTCAACCCCAGTGTGAGGTCCAGGCCCGGGACCGGTGGAGTCCGGGTAACGCCGGTGGGTGCACGTGGACTTGGGGAGCACGCGAGCACCGTGCTGGGCGGAGGCGGGGCTGGGGAGAGCGCAGAGAGGAGGGGCCTCTGCGGGTGGCTGCCCCGAGGTGGGCGCCGGCTCGGGGAACTCAGGGGCTGCAACAAGGGGGGAGGGCGCAGGTTTGCAGCGGGGACCCTTTCTGCTGGGGTGACCCGGTTTCCTCGAGGACGCTGGGCTCTAGAAGGGAGAAATGGGGATTCCAGGCTCAGGGAGGCCGGCGCTGCGGCCAGGGCCCGGGCTGAGGGCGGTGCGGGGGGAGGCGTGCACAGCCGCCCGCGGGTTCCCTCCCCGCCGCCGCCTCCCCACCCCGCCCCCGCCCGCCTGCTCTCCGGCCACTACGGCCAGACCCCTCACCGCCCGCGCAGGCCGGCCTGGGCTGGCGCCGGCGCCGCCAACAGAGCAGCCCAGCACTCGGCCGTCCCAGCGGCGGGACGCCCGCTCAGACCGCCTTCCCTCCTCCGCTCTCCCGGGCAAGGCTTCCCCCGAGCGAGCCCCCTGCCTTCCCACTGCCAAGCCTTGTCCGCTCTGCAAAAATAACCTCCCCGGGAAGCCTCCCGTAACTGACGCACCATCCCCAGCCCTAAAGAAGTGCCTGGACAAGTCTCTCGATGTCTCCGAGGTTGCAGTTTATCACACAGGTGCTAACAGTAGTTTGTCACATGCTATGGAGACATGGGTGGAGGAGGAGGAGATACCAAACTCAGCATGGAATTTGTGGGCTCTCCAATATTTTAACATAAAATGAATCTTCCTTGCTATAGAAGAACACACACATGCGCGCGCGCGCGCGCGGAAAACTGGAGAGAAGATCCCCTCTAATAACCTCACCAGCCAGGCCATCTACGGCGAGTGTTTTCGGAGACTTCGCTGCCTTTGTTGTTACAGAGACAGATGATTACTGCTGGGCCTGTTAGAGGCTGAGGGGTTTTGTTGTTACTACAGCTACACTGAGATATAATTCATATACCACACAACCCACTTACGTGATGCGCATAATTGAGTAGTATTTAAGCATATTACAGAGCTGTGCAACCATCACATTTTAAATATTTTTGTCACTCCAAAAAGAAATCCTCTCCCCTTTAGCGGTCACCTCGGTGTTTTATTTTTTGCTTAACATTATTTTCCAAGCGTCCTCCTGTTGCCCAATAATCTTCTTAACTACCTTGTCTGGTGACTGCGGGCGAAGGATTCCAGGGGAGGGCCTGGCACCGCCGGGGTGTCCTAGAATGATGGTAATGGGGCGGGCGCGAGAAGACCGAAGGAGCAGTGAGCCGGCCCCGGGGGAGCTGAGGGGGCGACAGGAGCCGACTGCGGGCGCGGGGAACTGACTTGGGGTGCAGAGAAGCAAAGCTCCGGAATCAGGATCCGCAGCACTACCGACTGAAGGATGGAGGAGGCGGGGGATCAGCGCCCTTCCTGGGGGCGGGCGGGGGGGGGGGAAGTAAGCTCAGTAATCGAGTCCCAGAAGGAGAGGGCACAGGTTTGGAGGAAAGCTAAACATGAGCTTGATTTTGGACTTGCCGGATTTGGGGGCGTCCGGGTCTCGTGGCGGAGTCCCAAAGTTGCGGGCGTGGATGCTCAAGTCTGGGCCTCCGGAGGCGCTTAGGCCGCTTGGAAAAGGTTTGGGACTGAGGACGTAAGGCCACCTGTGAGGCCTTGGGAGCCTGAGCTGACTCAGGTCCGGCGCGAACGAGAAAGCGCCAGAAGAGCACTGGCGCTTGGCGGGGTGGGGGTGGTGGACGGGGATGCGGAGCGCGTCACCAGGTGGGAGAAGCCAGAGCCGGAGGCGCCGGGCTGTGGCGGGGAGGATGGCGCGCGGGTGCGGGATGGGGGACGCAGACCCGTCCTCGCATGAAGTGCCGAGCGTGGGTCCCGTGGCTGCCTGCGAGTTTGGGCTCCTCCGTCCCTTCCCTGCAGCATCTCGCCCCGTTCGCAAGGCGAGCCCTGCCCGTCCAGTGAGGCCCGCAGGGTTCGGGGCGCGGAGCCTCCAAAGGCTTCAGGGCCCTGACCTGCCCGGCCCGGCGGCGGCGTGGCTTAGGGTTGGTCCTCCGGCGGCGGGCTGGCGCGGGCAGGGGGCGTCCCCGGCAGAGTCCTGTCTCAGTCCCCGGAGTGGCCCCGGCTCCGCGCCGCCCAGGTTGGGAGACAGCGCCACAGCTCGGGGCACATCCACCGACTTGGAACATTAGGGAAAGTTGGAGAAATTCACTTCGTCCGATATTGTCGTCGCTGGACACCTCGGGGGCCGACGCCGCGCCGCGCGCCCCCGCGAGCAGCGGAGACTGCCGTGGCCCGGCGGACCTCCGCGGTGTAAGGGGCGGTGCTGCGCCGGGGCCCGAGACGGGCGTGCGCACCGGCCAATGGGCGTCCCTAGCCCTCCGCGGTCCCGCCCCTGGGTCCGGTCGGAGCGCGCGAGCCTGGAGGCTCAGACGCGGCCGGCGGACGCGCGGTCCGGGCTCTCCGGCCGTGCTCGGCGGGGCCCGCGCGGCCGGGGAGGTGACGCCGCCGGCCATGCGGCTGGAGGCGCAGGACGCGCTGTACGTGGCGCTGGAGCTGGTCATCGCCGCGCTGTCGGTGGCGGGCAATGTGCTGGTGTGCGCCGCGGTGGGCACGTCGAGCGCGCTGCAGACGCCCACCAACTATTTCCTGGTGTCCCTGGCCGCGGCCGACGTGGCCGTGGGGCTCTTCGCCATCCCCTTCGCCATCACCATCAGCCTGGGCATCTCTACGGACTTCTACAGCTGCCTCTTCCTCGCCTGTTTCGTGCTCGTGCTCACGCAGAGTTCTATCTTCAGCCTCTTGGCCGTGGCCGTCGACAGGTACCTGGCCATCCTTGTCCCGCTCAGGTGAGGCGCGCGGCGGCACCGAGCCCTGTCCAAGCCCTGCCGAAGCCCCGCCAAAGCCCCGCCAATGACCGCGCGCTCCCGACCCAGGTTCCTGGCGTCGGGAACGGGCCAGGCAAGCGCCGGGGGCGGGGGTGGGGGGTGGGCTCTAAGCTCGCTTTCCACCCTGGAAGGCACCGGCCATCACGGGAGACGCGTGCGCCCGGGCTGGCCAGACTCCTTCGGGGTCTCGGGGCGGGCCCTGGAGGCCTGGACGCCCCCGGATGCACGCCTCTTTGTAAGAGGATCTGCGTAGGGACACTCTGGGGGTTCGGGGGGAGTGTGGTCCCCGGGAGCCCGGCCTGTCATGGAAACCCCGGGGAAGGCACCATCCCCGCGGGCGGGCGGAGGCCCAGAAGCCAGAGGTTTGCTGATGGTATCTCCTTTGCAGCGAGAACTGTTTCTTTCCTGCTATCCCTCACCCGCGGCCAACGCGGGGTGGGGTGGCCTGGGATGGGAGGCTGAGAACAGCGGCCCCAAAGTGCTGGGGACCCGGGAGGCCAGGCCGGGTGGTTTCCAGAGCAACTTTGGACGCTGGGACTTGGCGTTATCAGAACGGACCCTACTTACAACCCAGCTTCAGAATATACCTGGTGCAAATGAGGGCCAGGCCGCCCTGCGCGGGAAGGAAGGTGTCAGGTGACTTCGCAGAATGCTAGGACACGTGTCCCTGCATGCATAATAGTGACTCCAGTCATCTCCACATCCTTTTAAAAGGAGGAAAAGTGTCCCCCCCCCCCCCCGCCCCGTGCTGAGGTGTAACCTTGTTTGTCCACGCTGCGGTGCCCCAGCGCGCTAGGGGAACATTTCTGAGCTGAGGAAGCCAGGGGTCCCGGGACTCGCAGGGGTCGGGGATGGAGCCCGGTGGCAGGAGGAGTGGAGCCCAGCTGCAGCTGACCTGTGACCGGGGTTGCCGCAGGAGGGGTGGGAGGGGCGGGAGGGGCGGGCGTGCCTTGGGAACCTCGGGCATTTCCGAGGTGGGTGAGCTTGAGATCTCTTTGGATGTGGGGCTGAGACAGGAAACTCATAAGAAGGACAAGGAAGGAAGGAAAGGAATTAACTTGAGTCCCAACTCTGTGGGGCGATTTATATTGATCCTTTAATTCTTTCAGTAATTCCAGAAGGGAGGCAGTGTTCCCTGCCTCTGGCTGGTAGGTGAGGGAGCGTCGAGCCTTGCCCAGAATGCTTGTTTGGAGTGAGTCTCAGAGGCAGGACTTGAACCCAGGGCAGGCACGGTGGCCTTGCCGTGCCTCCAGGCCACTGGGGGGCTGTGTGGCGTCGGTGCTGCGACATGGGCAGGACGCCTGCTGCTGTCCCTGGGGGCTGACCCTGCCGCCAGTGAGTTGGCGGTCAGTCGGAAGAGAAGCGCATTTGAGGGAACCCGCCTGGGGGGTGCTCTCAGCAGCCTTGTCGGCGGACAGCCATGGTGAGCCTGCCCTGCGGGTTGTGTCCTGGGTCCCAGCCTGAACAGGAACCTCCTGCTTTGCTGGGCTGGGAGCCTGATCTGCGTGTCTGGGCCTTTCCGTGGCTGCTGCCTGTGACAACTCCCCAGGAGGCCTCCTGCGTCCTCTCAGGTGTGACAGGGTCCAGGGATTTCCAGGGTTTGGGGCGGCACACTCCTCTCTCAGGGCCCCTTTCCTGCCTCTCGGTCCTCCCGGGGGTTACTTGGTGGCTTTTGGGATTGTTTGCCTCCAGCTGGCAGTGGCAAGCCACCGCCCTGAGCTACCGTACAATAGAAGCCCTGGGCTTGCCCCTGGCAGAGGTCCAGAGCGGTGGCAGCAACGTCGGAGTTACTGGGAGAATCCCCCGTGTGGAGCAGGAGTTCCATAAAAGTTAAATTTGTTAGCTCTTGTCCTTGTTTGTGCTGGGTGGAGTCTTGGAAAAAAAAATGGGCGTGGGTGTGTTAAGGAGAAAGAAATGTGAATCACTGGCCCCAGCTCCTCCTTTGCATTTGCCCAGAGCAGGAGGTGGTAGAGCAGCGCGGTGCTCGGGGAGAGCCGGCTCCGGGCGCGCAGCGCCACCTGGAGGAGGGCCGCCCGGAGTGTGGAGTCGGGGAGAGGCAGCCCCGCCTCCCGCCCCGGGAAGGGGTGGGCATCTGAGCTGTCCCCAGCACCCAGCGCCGCCTCCAGGCTGGAGAGGTGGGCCAGCGGCGCCCAGGGCTCCCCAGCCGGCCTGGGGCCTGGGGCCTGGGGCAAGCCCTCATCCCTCAGCCATTTCTCACTTCTGCTTCTGAGGACCGTGGCCCCTGTGCAAAGGCTAAAATGCTGACTCTAAGGCCCCACCGGGCCCTGCTGAGTCCGTCTCTGGGGCAGGGGTGTGTGTGATTCCCGTGTCAGAGTCTTTAGCTGGGGACTTCTGCCCCCTGATATTTGAGAACCCTCTTGGGGTCAGGAAGCCTGGAGGCCCCCCTTCACTTTATTGACAGCCGGGGCCCAGCTTGGACGCGGCCCATGGGCCTCCAGGTGGGAGTCAAGTTGGGAGCACCCTTCCAGGAGGAGGTGCCTCCCCCATAAAGCAAGCAGTAACCAAGGCGAGGTTTGAGCACTGAGGGCAAGACCAGCCCAACCCGTTCATGGGTGCTGTAGCCTCAGAGGCACCTGAGCCCCAGCCCGGAGGCCGAGCCCAGCTCCAGGCCACTGGCTGCCTGGAAGGTGACAATGCGAGAGGAAAGGGGAGCTCCGAGGCGATGCTGGGCACAAAAATGGCAACTGAGCTGGGCTTGCAAAGGAGGAGTGTCTGCTCGGATCCGGCATTGCCCTTGGCCTTCAGAGTGGGGGCTGTCTGCAAACACAGAGAGTCTCCTGCCTCGGGCTCAAGTCAGCACGCTGCCCAGTGTTGGGCAGGGGATCCAGTCGCAGCGGTGCGGTCAGGAGTGGGCAGGAATGGGCCGGGGCACGCGGCGGAGCCAGGTGCCGGCCCCCTGTGGGAGCGGGGTCGGGGGTGCCCGGGTAGTGGGTGCGTCAGCCTGGGCTGCTCCGAGCTCACTTCACCCGCAGGCTGTTTCCGGCAGCAGCCCTTCCTCCTCTCTGATCTCGTCCTGGCCCCCGGTCCCCTTCTCGCCACACTCCCAGCCTGGTTGGGACCGGTCAGTGGCTGTGTGAGTCACCTCTGTCCAGCTGCCTCCTCCACCCTGCTCCTGGACTCCGGAGTCTCCTGGGGACCTGAGGAGGGTGTTTTCCAGGGCTTGACTGGGCCCCCAAGGGCCGGAAGGGGTGTTTGTCCACGGGCTCCCTCCCGGGGCTCCCTGCCCTTCCTCCCGCCTCCCACGTGCGGGCTGAGGGCACTGACGGCCTCTCCGCCGGACTTGACGTCTTGGGTAGAAGTGTGGCCACCACTTAGCTGCCTGAACTGGACGTAGGGTGGGAGTTGGCCTGGGGTTTTGAGTATTTTTTCAAAAACTTTTTTTTTCCTTTTTTATTTTTATTGAGCTACTGTTCTCATATGATAAGATTCACCTTTGATGTTGTTTTGAAACACAGCGAGGAGAGACGTTTTCAGCTCTGGGTCCTGCCCACCCCCGGTTTTTCCAAGGCCCCCTTGGGTTCTCCCCTCTCCACCCCCAGCATAGCCCTTCGCACCGGGCCGCTCCCACTGCGGGGGGTTGAAGGGGGCCCGGACCTGAGAATAGGGGCTCATCTGGAAGCGGAATGACCGTTTCCTTACATGGATCTTGAGTGGAGGAGCTTATTTTGGATTATCTGGTGGCCCTGAATGCAATCAAATGCCTGTAAAACAGACATGCAGAGAGAAAGGGGGAGGCTATGTGAAGACTGGGGTGGGGGGACAGGGGGAGGCGCTGGGGCAGCCACCAGCATGGCGAGGCGAGGCTGGGGGCTGCCCCCCCGCCCCCCGCCCAGAGCCCCTGCAGGGAGCTGGGCCCTGCCCACACCTGCCTTTCAAGCGTCTGGCCTCCAGAACTCTGAGCGAAGTGTATTGTAAGCCACCAAGTTTGTGGCCCTTTGTTGCAGTATCCCCAGGAAACCACCATTACTACATGAATACGCCTAAATCAGCTCTGCAGCAACCGCACACCCTCCCCACACACTGGCTCGCCCTTTGTTTCTCTCCTCAGTAATCTCTTCCGGCAAGTCATCCAGTTTCCCTGCTTCCCCTTCCGTGGTCCCCACGGTGTCACTGAATTGCTCCTATTAGGTCACCCCTGCCATGACCTCTTCTCAGTTGAATCTTCTTGGATGTCTTTGCACATGTCCTCTCGGCAGCTCTTGATGGGCTCCTGCTGGGTCGCTGCCCCCCCCCCGCCCCCCAGCCTCCCGGCCCTCAGCTCCCCTGTGACTGCTCTCTCCACAGCTGCCGCGAGGAGGATGTGAAACGTGCGTCAGAGCACATGAAGCCCTTGTGTAAAATGCGAGCGTCCCACTCGGGCCTCTGCCCACCCCACGTCGCTCGCCTCCCTCTCTCCCTCGTTCGCCGGGCACAGCCATGCTGGTCCAAGGTCTTCCGCCCGCCGCAGCCTTGGTGCCGCCCCTCCTCAGTTCCCCGGCCGACGAGGCTTCTCCGGCCACTGCATTCCCTTGTCACTGGCTGTCTCGAACTTACATCATTACTAGGTTATGGCCCCTTTCAGCCGGAGTGCGGGCTCTGAGAGGGCAGAGGCTCCGTCTTCTACTCAAGGACCCAACACTTGGCATCATGCCAGGCCTGGGGTAGGGACCCAGACTTGGACTGAATATGTGAGTGATGGGTGAAGGGTGTGCCTTACGGTGTGTCAGGCCTGGGGGAAGCTGGGGTGGGGGCCGGGGGTGCTATGCCAGAAAAGACTTGGGGAGGGAGGGTCAGATCCCAGTAATGGGCAGAGCTCTCTGGTGAAATGACATTAGAAAAAGATGGTCCAATAAGGGAAGAGAAGAGGGGACACCATCTTCTGGAAGGATCTCTCACAGGCTTGAGGAGAGCGGGGCAGAGCGGTGCTCAGCAAGCCAGCAGGTGCTGCGGGCGAGGGCTGG